GGAACCTGCTGCTTCGGCCATAGAAGGCCGAGGCTGGTGTTGCCCCCTCTTGAGCTCAAGGGGCGGCTGACCCAGATGGCGGAGCTTTCCTGTGCTTGACTTGCCCCCCTCTTCTGCCCTCCAGATCTACTTCATGTGCTCCACGGAGGTGTGCCTGCCCTCCGAGCGGCGCTGTGTGGAGGGCTGCTTCGATGGCCGCAGTGAGTATGACCACCTTCCGGGCTCCTGCCCCTAAATCCAGGAATGGGACAGGCTGGGCGAGTCGGCGGGAGCAGGCGGAGGACTGGGAGTGGAGTAAAGTAACAGCAGCCACGTGATCTCGGCTGGGAGGAGGGCTCAGTCCTGGGGCCCATCTACACTGTGGCCCCCATCCTGAAGGCCTCCAGTGCCCAGCTGTGTGCTAGTGCCAGGCTTGGGGCTCCTGGCTTGCCTTGGGGAGGCATCTCTGATTTAGACATGGCCCAAGGCTCCAGCTTCCTTGGGGAGGAGTGGAGCTGCCTCGGACAGGACTGTGGACTTGACCCGTTTTAACTGGGGATGGCTGCAGTCTCCAGTGTAACTGCTGCCTGCAGCCCACCTGGGCCGGTGAGACCATGACGTTGAGTGTTGCTTGCAGAGATCCCGGTGCTTGAGAACCCGAATGCTGACCGGCGCTGCACCAGGCTGCCCTGCCCGGGAAAGGAGACCCCTCCTGACTCCTAGAGGGAGGGAGTCCTCACTGGCTCTCGGCCTGGGGAGGTGAGTGTGGGCCCTGGGGCTGTGGTGGCTGAGAGGCGGTGTAGTGTTGCTCATGTTGGTCTCTTCCTCTCTGCAGGCTGCTGGGAGGGAGGGGGATCGGTCTTCATGCAAGTCTGGAGGTGCTGTGATGTCAGAGAAAGTAATAAAGATTGGTTTACCTTGAATTGGTTGCGTTATCAGTTTTGACGCTGGTCTTGCATGTTCAGTACAGGTCCCTCATTCAGGACTGCTAGATTTCGGGGTTTGTTGCGAAAGCCAAGCACCTTGGTTCAAATTCACAACCATATTTCCACGGCCTGATTGAACCAATTTAACTTTGACTTCATTTGTTCTTGGGTGGACCCCCTCCCCTGAAGGACTCCATTTTAACTCAAAATGGGGCGGGGGGGTATTGCAAGCTGGTCTCCTCTGATGGAGACTAGCCTTCAATATAAAACCTGGTTGTGTCTAAGAGGACTTGCTTTGCAATAAATTCAGCAGCACCAAGGGGTTTGGTGTTCAGCAGTTAAGTGGGGGGGGGGGAGGCTCAGGTTTTGCAGCCCACCAGTGAAACCAATTGACATTCCAGTCCCGGTTACCTGGAATTCCAAGGTGCCTGTGTCCCAACTCTTATTAGCCAAAAGGAAGGGGCTTGAGTAGGTTGTTGTGTGGGCTATGAAGGAACAAGTTCATGGTTCCTTTCCCTTGGAAGGAAATGAGGTCTCAGCTGTCACCTGAAGAAGGCTCCACAGTTGGAACATCTTCCTTTCCCCATGAAGGGAGTTCCCATTCCTCTTAAGTGGAGGAACTCCATCCACCTCCCTGGTGTTGAAACTAATCAACTTGTACAGGTCTGAACCAGAGCTAACAATTAGTGTATGTGAACATGCGCGGTCTGGGGGGTGTATTGTGCTCTTACGAGGCACCAGTTCTGTAGGGTTTGGCCATTTATGGGGACAATTATTAATTGTAGCCGTAAATCACAAAATGATTCTTTTAATGGCCTTAGAATCCAACCTTGCAATATAATTCAAACTACACACACAC